GGAGCGAGGGGGCAGCATTACAGGTGGTACCAGGATCAACGACAGCTACGAACGAGCGTCCCGCGACCGCAAGAGAGGGAGAAGGTCATGCTAAGGGTGCATAGGAACTGGGACCAGGTCTGGTGGGTCCTGGCGGGCTATCGGTTTGCCAAGCAAGCGGCGCTGAAGAACCTGTCCCCTTACCAGCTGCTGAATGGGCGGGATACTGTGTTATTGGGTAGTGCGCCAAAGTTTCTCGCAGTGGAGGCAGACGAGTCGAAGCTGTGGGCAGTGCCAGTGCAGAGGAGAGTTAGCTATCCGAAGGAGCTGATGTCGGCGCAGCACAATCGGCATGAAGCGCAGCTGCAGGATGCTTGGCAGTGTCAGCAGCACAAGTCCGGAGGGACAGTAGAGCACCAGGGAGAAGTGGTGGCAGGACAAGAGGCTGTCGCGAGGAGAGCGAAGCGGGGCACCTTAGATCTGGCGGTTAGTCCAGAACCATGGAAGGCGCAAGAAACTAGGCAGTCAGAGGTGCTGGTGCTGGAAGTCAAACAGAGAGGACGCATTAAGGAGCACGTTACCAACATGGCCAGGGCTGGAGGGGCGAGGTCTCAGGCGTTGGGTCCCGTGACCAGAGCTGCTGTCATTGGAGCTCAGGCACGGAAGGGGGCAGGGTAGCCTGAGACACGGGCAGCAGGGAACTACGGAGGCAGGGAACAGGAAGCAGGAAACTAAGGAGTGAAAGGAAAGCGGAAGGTGTTACAAGGCAAGGATTAAGTCCAGCGGGGAAGTAATTCACGACACCAACCCTTCAGTTCGCGCCTGTCTACCCCTTTGTTTTTCTTCCTTGCACTGTCTTGACTCCTAAATTTCGTTCAGGGTGAACTTCCAGCCAGCACTGACAGCACAAGTGTGGGACACGTGGCACCCTCTCTTCACTAAGAAGAAAAAGTATGGCATTTCTGGTTCATTCCATGTGCATTTCTGGTTCCGAAGGCCCTTTCAAAAACTTAATTCTATCCACTTGCCCCCCCCTTTTTTTTTGCGACATCTCGAAGTTTTTTTCTGCCAGCCTCCCTTCCTTACGTCTTTCCAGCCTGGCGAGACTCAAACATGCACTTACTCTACTCCTTTCTTTCCCTCTGCTGCTCCTGGCATCCTTATGCAGGCAAAAGGGTTTTTTGGGTGCCTCAAAACTCCTCCCACCGTCTTTCTTTCCCTGTGCTGCTCGTGGCATTCCTTTGCAGGCAGAAGGGTTATATTCGTCTTGTTTTCAAGTATATCCCTGTAAGGCGTACCTGTAAGGCACACGTTTTTTCATGTTTCCGCGCACGTTCTTTTTATTTTCTCTTTCCACATCTAAAAGTCGTTTCTAACGGATGCTTGACTATATAATTATTCTTTTCTGATTTTTTTCTTCTCTTTTCTTTTCTTCCCTTATTCTTTTACTCGTTGGTCCAGTCCCAGCCGAACGCATCCGCATCTCCTTCTACCATGCATTCCTCAACGGCAGCAGCAGCAGCAGGAGCAGGAGCAGCAGCAGCAGGAACAGCAGCAGCAGGAGCAGCAGCAGCAGGAGCAGCCGCAGGAGCAGCAAGAGCACCGGTTCCCCTCCCTGACCACTACACCTCATCACCACGGCAGCAGTCCGCTCAACCCCACGCCTTTCCCCCACCCCAATCACTCTATCCCCCTCCGCCACAGCCGGTTTCTGAACCAGCTCAATTACCAGACCAGACCCATCTGTACCCATCCCCTTACCCCTCTCTGCCACACAGCCCGCGTTCCCAGCCACCCACCTCCCCTTCCTTCCACACCCAGTCTCCCTCCCACTCGTCCCACCTTTCCTCCTCATCAGACTCCCCATCCTCCTCATTCCACAGCCAGTACTCATCCTCAGACTCGGCTTTCTCCTTCCAGCACCAGGAGTCGGCACCTAGTCGTCTCTACCCTCCTCCTCTCGCTCCTTCTCCTCTTGGTGCTGCTGGTGCTGGGGTTGCTGCTGCCGCTGCTGCTGGTGCTGCTGGTGGTAATTATGCCGACTACCCTTATGGTGGTGGTGCTGCTGATGCAGCTCCTCCTCCTCCTTCTGCTGCTTCTTCTACCTACTCCAGTATTGACTACCCAAGAGTACACTCCAGTGGCCCCCCATCCGCCCCCCCTCTGTCTCCCCCTCACTCTCCTGTCCCTTCCCCACCCCGCTCCCCTCCACCCACTCACTCCTACAACTACCCCCCTCAGCCGACAGCAACTCCAACCCCCTCCGCTCCTCTCACACACCCCTACAGCTGCCCCCGCCAGCCCACAGCAACACAGGTATCCCAAGCCCACCACCACTCCCCAGGAGCAGGAGTGGGCTCATTTGAGCGTACAAAGGAGGGTAGTGGAGCAGGCATAGGAGGGGATGCAGCAGCCGTTGCAGCAGTTGGTGCAGCTATGGGCGCTCTTGCAATTGGTGGTGCTTCAGCAGCAGGCGGAGGAGCGCCACCAGCAGCAGCACCACCAGCCCACCACCCTCCCCCCCAGCCTCCATCCCAAAACCCATATCCTCCCCCATCCTCTTCCTCCTCTCAAGGCGCCTATCCCCCTTCCTCTCAAAACGCGTACCCTCCTCCTCCCTCCCCTCAAGGCTCTTATCCTCCTCCCCCACCTCCTTCCCAGTCCGCATATCTTACCCCTCCCGCTCCCTCTCAATCCGCATATCCTCCCCCCCCATCTCAGGGCGCTTACCCTCCCACCCCGTACAGTTACCCCCCCTCTTCTCAAAACCCTCCTTACGGATACCCCGGTTACCCCCCACCTTCTCAAGCTCCCCCCTATGGGTACCCCTACGCCCCTCCTCCTGCCCCATACGGCCATCCTCCTCCTGCTTCCTACGCCCCTCCTCCAGCCCCGTATGGCTATGGTGCGGCTCCTTGGGGGTATTACGCTCACTAGAGCAACCAGCCTGTGATGGTGGTGCATGGCCACGTGCACCATGGTACGTGCAGCATGATGGGCACCCACCATCATGCATCATGTTGCATGCACCATGCATCATGGTGGGTGCATTATGCATCGTGGTACGAGGTGGTACGTGCCATTATGCATTACTGCTTTCATGCTGGGCTTTCCCGCGTGTACAGAGTCGCTGCTGTCGTGATGCGTAGCAGTGTGATGCTTTTATACTGTTACTTGCTTTCATTACCTGTTTCACTACTTGTTTCCTGTTCTCCGTTCTCGAAACAGTCAGATGTGAAGCCTTACCATTCCGTTCCAGGTGTCAAATATTCCATGGCAGTAATTTTCTTCATTTCTTTGTATCACTTGCTAATTTGGTGGTGGATTGCAGGTGATTAGGGAAATCACAAGGGCCACAAAGGTTTCAAGGGTGGATTCTTCAAGTAATGCCTGTCATTCCTTTGTTCTGATAGCGTTTCCATTCTAGTAAGATAAGCGTAGCATGCTAACTTGTTTTGGTTGTATTGGATACTGGGGTACTTGAAAACGAACTCGTCTCACCATTCCAGAAACCTCCCTTTACCTCTGCCTTGTTGGGGTGTGCCTGAAATGGGGCAAACGCCAAGGCTGTGTGGAGCTCTTGGCAGGGACAAGATGAGCTGACGGCCGCGAACTTCATGCTGACTTGTTCGCGCGCACCAATCTCGAGAAGGAATCAACTGAAGGGAATATTCCCGTAGACCAATCAGCGTCATCTTGCGCACGAAATAAGGCGGCGCGGTGGGGCCATCCCGAACCGCAGTCATCGAGAATGGACGTCATCTGTCCGTCCAAGGACATCGTCGATAATTTCTGGTCAGATCAGTTTCCATTCAGGCAAACCTGCCCCAGAAACCATCCTCGCACTTCGCACACGCCTACTGATGTCGAGAAATCAATTGAGCATACAGTCATCCGGTCAGCTCGTCGATACCGCTTCTGCCCATGTGGCTCCTCTGTTCAAGGGTCAACAACCAATCTCGAGGAGCACCGACGAACCTATCCGCGTTGTCCCCGAGATAACAAGGAGTACTGGAAAATCCCATCATCTATGGCTGCTTGGAATCGAGGTCTTGGGAACACTTGGTGGTCCCTGTTGATTTCTGCTTATGGTGGGAGCTGTCATTGCAGCCGTAGAAGGAATGTGTGTTTGTTCTCCCAGCTACCTCGCGTTTCAGGCATCGTCGCAGCCGTAAGTAACATCACCAAGGCAACCTATTCCTCAGTCCTTAGCTGCTGCTGTTTGGTCGTAGTATTTTGTGAACATTAAACAACAGGCCTACTAGGACCGTAGGCTGAAGCTTAGAACAGCTCACCTCAGTGCAATGGTTTCCCGCGCGTGCTCCACCGCGCCGCCGGGCCTGACTCTCATTCGTCGCTTCCGGCCAAAGGATTTCTCCTTCGCGACGCACCAGATTTTCGTCCTTGTTCTCACCTTTATCGCATACGCGTTATACCACGCCTCGCGAAAGCCTCCCAGCATTGTCAAGGGCGTGCTCGACCCTCTCGATACAGGCAACTCCGTTACAAGCAATCCCTGGACGTTCTACCTCCAGCGGCTGGAAACCCACCCAGAAAACTCTCTTTTGCGGGCAGAAAAAAAAGCCGGATGGGCTCCTTTCAACGGTAAATCCGGGAAATCTCTCCTCGGAGAACTCGATATTGCGTTTCTGGGATGTTACGCGATTGGCATGTACATCGCCGGCCACGTCGGTGACCGCATCGACCTCCGCGTCTTCCTCTCCGTGGGGATGTTCGGCAGCGGCTTATTCGTATCCCTCTTCGGCATGGGGTATTTCTGGAATATACACTCGTTAAACTACTTCGCAGTGGTGCAAATGGCCGCGGGGTTCCTCCAGGCGACGGGCTGGCCGAGCGTCGTCGCGATCATGGCCAGCTGGTACGGGAAAAAAGGCCGCGGGTTGATTCTTGGCGTGTGGAACGCACACACTTCCGTCGGCAACATTCTCGGATCGCTCATCGCGTCTTCCGCGCTTGCAAGCGGATGGGGCTGGGCGTTTCTCATCCCCGGATTCAGTATCATGGCGGGAGCGCTGATCATGTTTCTGTTTCTTGCGCCGGAACCGGAAACCATAGGGCTGGAGTCGCCGCATTCGCTGCTGCTGTCGGAGTCGTCTAGTGAGGCGGGCGGGAGCGTGCACGGGGAGGGGGACGAGGAGTCGGGATTCGAGGCCGTTGAGTGCGCTGACGTGGCGGCTGGTTTTGATGCTGCCCTGTTAGCCCCTAAAGAGGCTACTTATGCGTCAGTATCGCAGCAGCTTGCAGTGCCGCTTTTGCAGGGGAAGGATGATGCGGGGCCGGGAGCGGAAGGCCGGATTGTGATAACAGAGGATGTGCTTAAATCGGGGATGGGAGGGAGCGGCGAAGAGCACGAGGCGATTAGCTTCTGGGACGCGTGTCAAATCCCTGGTGTTGCGGCGTACGCGTTATGCTTGTTCTTCGCTAAGCTTGTGGCGTACACGTTCCTGTACTGGCTCCCGTTCTACATCAAGCGCACAGGTGAGACGAAAACCGCCTAATGTACTCCGTAAAAAAAAAAACAAATGGGGAATATATTGTAACTACTGCGGGCGTCTGGACAGACTTTGACTTTTGGGGCGAGGGGGGGAGGGATGTGGGGGTGGCAGGGGAGGATAGTAGCAGGCCATCTCTCCGACCATACACATTTCCTGCTCCTCTGCTCACTTCTCTCCCCTTTTCCTCCCCACCTCCCCAAGCAGAAATAGCAGGCCACCATTTGACTGACGCGTTTGCGGGTGTGACATCGACAGTCTTTGACCTAGGAGGGGTGCTGGGGGGGATAGTAGCAGGCCATCTTTCCGACCATACAGATGCCCCTCTTCTCCCGTGCTCACTGCTCACTGCTCTCTCCTCTTCCTCCCTCTCCCCTCTTTTCCCTACGCCCCTTGGAGCAGAGATTGCCGGGCACCATCTGACTGACGCATTTGCCGGAGTGACGTCAACAGTCTTTGACGTAGGAGGGGTGCTGGGAGGGATAGTGGCAGGCCATCTCTCCGACCATACGGGCGCCCACGCCACCGTGTCCGCTTCCTTCATGCTCCTAGCCGTCCCCGCTCTCCTCCTCTACTCTTTTCTAGGCGGAATTTCGCTCTCTGTGCACATAGGGCTGCTCTCATTGGTCGGATTTTTTGTGAACGGGCCCTATGCGCTTATCACTTGTGCTGTGTCGGCTGATCTGGGGCAGCACGCGTCGCTCCGAGGGAATTCCAAAGGGTTGGCTACGGTTACTGCGATTATTGATGGCACGGGGTCGTTAGGGGCTGCTCTGGGTCCGTTTCTAACGGGGATAGTGGCAGAGATTGGGGGAGGAGGCGGGGGGAAAGGAGCAAAAGACCTGGGGTGGAGGCTGGTGTTTGGAATGCTTATTTCGGCTGCACTGGCTGCAGTGTTGTGCATACTGCGGTTAGTTATTGGCGAGTTTAAAGCAGCAGCAGAAACTTCAGCAGCGTTAGACGCCTTCTTAGAGGCCGAGAGGCAGCAGCAGGAGCAGGGAAGAGAAGGAGAGCAAGGGAGGGGCAGTGGAGTGCCAGCGGGGGAGCAGCTGGGAGGGGAGAGGGGCGAACAAATGGGGGAGCAGAGGGGGACACAACGCGTTACCAAGTGCAAGAGCAGGAGGGTGTGGCACCACTGGTGGCGGAAGGGAGGAGGATACTGCTCCACTTGCTGCTGCTGCTGTGTGGTTGCCAGATGCTGCTCCTGCCCTCCCCCTGCCAAGGTGCACAGTCACCATCACCAGCACCACCCACAGGAGCCGCAGCAGCTGCAGCAAGAGCAGCAGCAACAGCAGCAGCAGCAAGAGCAGCAGCAGCAACACCACTAGCAGCAACAGGAAAAGGGGAGGGGGAGGGGAGTGGGGTCAGGGCAATGAGGTCAGTGCAAGAGCTGGAGGTTGTATCGGTGGCACCACTGGTGGCGGAAGGGAGGAGGATACTGCTCCACGTGCTGCTGCTGCTGTGTGGTTGCCAGATGCTGCTCCTGCCCTCCATCTGCCAAGGTACACACTCACCACCACCAACACCACCCTCAAGAGCCGTAGCAGCAGCAGCAAGAGCAGCAGCAAGAGCAACAAGAGCAGCAGCAGCAGCAACAACAGCACCACTAGCAGCAGCAGGAAAAGGGGAGGGGGAGGGGAGTGGGGTCAGGGCAAGGAGCGCAGTGCAAGAGCAGGAGGTTGTCTTGGTGGCACCACTGGTGGCGGAAGGGAGGAGGATACTGCTCCACGTGCTGCTGCTGCTGTGTGGTGGCCAGGTGCTACAGCTGCCCTCCACTCCACCTGCCAAGTTTTATAGTCACCACCACCAGCACCACCCACAGCAGCCGCAGCAGCAGCAGCAACAAATAGAGCAGCAGCAGCCGCAGCAAGAGCGACAGCAAGGACAGCAAGAAAAGCATCAGCACAAAGAGTAGCAGTGGGGTTGGAGCAATGAGCGCAAAGCAAGGCTTTTGAGGCGCCTCAAAAGCAGCTCTACAGTAGAAAGTATGGGAGTGGGGGCAACGAGTGCAGTACTAGATACGGTTGGTACTGGTGGCACCACCATCAGTAGCAGCAGCATCAATATCAGGTGCAGCAGCAACAAGAGCAGCACCAACAGGAGCAATAGCAACAGGAGCGGCAGCAACAGAGCCGGTTTTGGGGTTTTTGGACTCGCAAATTTACACTTGGTTTGCAGCCTTCTCATGCTTTCACATCGCATTTGGTTTGCTGGTGGTCATTCAAACTCCCACTCTAGAGTAGGGACACCAAAGTTGCTACAGTACTCAATCAAGACTCCTCTGCATATAATCCTGATCTGTACATACCGGTAGTTAAATCAATACCTGTAGCCTGCTGGTCCTAGTACAGAGTAGAAGGCAGATGCCCATCGGAAGTGCTCCTGAGGTAACTTCTACTTGAGATACAATCTAGAAGGGACTCAAGGCAATCTAACCAATTTAGCCAGCTTTATAAATTGAAGCTACACCTGTAGAGCATTGCATATTCAATGCATCCAGTACTACAACCAACCACCGCTAAACTGAAAAATACATGCAGTCTAATCAAGGTCCAGCAGCAGCTGCTCCACCATTTACTTAGAGCGTATTCCTATCCTCGTATCAAGAAAACCTCATATCAACTTCCCACTGAAAATTCCCCTAAACCCAAAACCTCTCGCTACTTTTACCAGGCAAAAAGTACAATCTTGATATGAGGTTTTCTTGATACGAGGATAGGAATACGCTCTTACAGGGCTTTTTAAAAAGTTTTATATTCATGAGCTTGAAAGAGCCAACGCTCTACAACCTGCCTGTCCCAAGCTAGCCGAATAATAAGGTAGTCCTGAACCAAAATATCAGGGTGTATTGTGCGCTATCACCTTTATTGCCCTGATTGTCAGGGTGGAGGGGAAAACCACCCTGATTCAGAAGAGTTGTTGAAGAGAAAAGTTTACCACGCTGCAAACTACACCACTCAGCAAACTGCCTTCACTGCTGCGTATGCCAGCAAGTATGACCACCCCACTCCAGCTGCAAACTACACCAGCACGAGCCTACTAACTTACCCAGCAGCAGCAGCAACTCTACCACACTACCAGCAGCAGAACCAGCAGCAGCGGCAGCAGCCCTACCACCAGCAGCAGCAGCAGCAGCAGCAGCAGCAGCAGCTTCAGCAACAGCACTACCAGCAGCAGCCCTACCAGCAGCAGCAGCAGGCGGGGAGTGGACTACACCAGCCTCCCTCCCAGTCTAGGTGCGGCCACACTGGTGAGGTCCAGATCCGGTTTCACATCGTGAATCCGGTCTACATCCACCGTTGCAGGAGTCATCGGTAAGAACCTCTGAGGCGCCACAAATATCGACCCTCCCCCAGTGCTGCTGCTGCCCGCAACGCCACCAGCACCACCCCCCCCTGCTTCTTCTGCTTCCATTCGCCTCAGTAGGCTGTATCTGCTTAGGGATTTTGTGAAGAACCTCGGGTTAGGTTCGGGCCGAGCCGCCATGGCAAAGGTGTGGCTCCTGCTTCGGCCGTACGTGGCTTCTCGCATTGCCTCCATCATCTCTTCTGAAGCTGCGCCTCGGGCTGCCGGACCAAAGCCCTGGCTCATGGTCATCGCTGCCAGCAAAGCCTCGCCCGCCAACGGCGGCCCCGAGCCTGCTGCCGAACCTGGCAGCTTGCTTCGATCGAGCAGGCTTCCGAAAGCTCCGGAGGCGTCCACAGGGCGTTTCCCAGCATTACCCCCCATGCGAAGGGCGTTTTCTAAACTCTTCCGGCTGGTGCCCATGCCACTAGCTAGCGCCCTACGAGCAGCAGCAGCAGGAGATTCGGCATTCTCTGCTGCGGAAGCAGAAGTACCAGCAGCGCCAGCAGCAGCAGCGGTGGCAGCAGCGGCAGCTGGCACAAGCTTTCCACTGCTACTAGACGGTCGACTCCCACTACCTCCCACAGTCTTAGACGCTAGCGGAGTCAACAGATCATCCTTCTCTTTCTTATGAACCTCCTCCTCTTCCTCCTCTCCTTCCTCTCGCTCTCCCTTCTCCCCCTCTCCCTCCTCTTCTCCCTCGCCCTCGCCCTCCTCCCCTTCCATCACCTCCACCTCAGGTACCGGCTCCAGAGACACGTCAGTAAGAGACGCCTGCCGGACCTGCCGCCACACCGGAGGCTCGGCCGAGCCTGCCGCATCCACCGCACCAGCTTCAAGCCCAGCCGATCGAGGCCGACCAGTTTCCCCACCGCCCAACCCCTCTGCTGCGGCAGAATCCGAGGCCCCTTCCTCTGCGCGTGCCTTCTCCTCCTCCTCCATTGCTGCAATGCGCCGGGGGAGGGTTTCCCAGTCGCCCACCGTTGGGACGCTCTCTGAGAGGCTGCGACGGGCGCGGGAGAGAGATATGGGCGGCACAACTGCCGACTCTGCCTCCTTGCCTCCTCCCCCTCCTCCTGCTGCTCCTCCTGCTGCTTCTCCTGCTGCTGCAGAAGCTCCTTCAGCTGCCCCCTGTGACTCCACAGAAGTGGACTTAGGCAACGGGAACCGGAAATCCTCTGAAATAGACGCAACTGCCTCATCAGACCCAGCCGAAAGAGCAGCAGCAGGAGCACCGTCTGACACTGCAGGAGCAGTACCAATGGCAACAGCACCCGCACTGGCAGAGGCTGTTACTACAGCAGTTATTTTATCTTCCATCTCTCCAGTCTTCTCCCCATTAGCACGTACCATCATTCCCTCCAATTCACCCGCAGCAGCAGCCGTTTCAGCAGGAATAACATCACCACCAGCACCAGCAGAACCACCAGCGGCAGCAGCAGAAGAGCCGACACGATCAGGCGACATCACTCTAGGCGAATACACCGGCGCAAGCACGACCCCACGAGGCACGGGACTCCAGTCATTGTCCGCGCTGCGGCTGGCGAGGTGCTGCAGGCCGACGAGCAGCAGCAGCACGAGGCGCTCCATCTTGAGATGATCGACATGCTGCAGCGTCTGCAGGAGCGTTAGGTCCGTGTGCCCCTGCACCCTGCTGTCTAGCCCGAACCTGGGTGAGGAATGAGGAAGGTGGAAGGGAGAGATAAGAGAATGAGAGAAGGAGTTGGCAGGGGGAGGATACAGAACAAGGTGACGGGGAGCTGAAGCAGCGTCTGCAGGAGCGTTAGGTCCGTGTGCCCCTGCACCCTGCTGTCTAGCCCGAACCTGGGAATGGGGATAGGCGGAACGAGGGAGGAAAAGGACGAAAACGGGTGGTGGTGGTTGGGAGGGTGTGTGGGTGGCTGGGTGGGTGGGTTGACGGGGGTTGGAAGCAGAAGGGGTGCTACAGCCGAAGCAGCAGCGCTTCTTGTGCATGGGAAGCAGGGGAAACAGGGGAAGCAGGGGCAGGAGCGGTAGCAGAGGGGAGGGAGCGGCGGGTAGATGGTGCAAGCCCACGAGCAGCAGCAGCAGCAGCAGCATGGCATGAACTGCAGGCTTTTGAAACGTCTCAAAAGCTGAGCAGCCTGTCTCTCTTTACAAGGCATGGCATGAACTGCAGGCTCGCTGTGGTCGAAACTCTTCCATTTCTTGTACGAGGCGTGAACCCAGTCATTCAAAGTGAACGCAGAGAGAAAAGTTGAGCAACGGTGTACAGAATGGTGCTTAGCTAAACGTACCGAATTGTGTTCTCTGCCATGGTAACCAGCCAGTCCAGCACCGCCTCCATCTTCTGCCGAATGCTCTCCGTGCTCTCCTGCAGAAAGGGGGTTGGCATGGCATGTGTGCGTGAGTATGTGTTATATGTGTGCACAGTGCGGGTATGTGTGTGGCCGCGTACAACCAGCCAATCCAGAACCGCCTCCATCTTCTGCCGGATGCTCTCCGCGCTCTCCTGCAGAGGAGGTAAGAAGGAAGGTGGGGCAGCATGTGCGTGTGTGTGAGTTTGTGATGGGGTGTGTACGGGTAACCTTGTTATCGACCAGACCAGTCCAGTCCAGCACCGCCCCCAGCTTCTGCCGGATGCTCTCCGCGCTCTCCTGGAGAGGGAGAGGGGGGAAGGGGGTGTGCAGCTTTTTCTTGAGACGTCTCAAAAATCACTTATCTACACGAGGGAGAGGGGGGAAGGGGGTGTGCAGCTGAATTGATGTGTGTAATGCGTGTGGTGGTCAAGTCATCGCAGAAACGACCAGCACAGTCCAGCACCGCCGTCAATACACCACACCACACCACACCACGCCGAACCGCACCACATCTCACCACACCACACCCCACCCCACCGTACTGCACCCACCTGCTCTATGTCTTGTGACTGAGGCAGCGTGCATTTCAACCGACCACACTGACAGAAGCAGGCAGAGCAGTGAAGGCATGGCGACCCCTGGATACCACACTACACCACATCACATCACACCGCACCGCACCACAACACACTGCACCACACCAAACCGCATCATACATACCACACCGCACCCACCTGCTCTATGTCTTGGCGACTGCAGCAGCATGCGCTTTAACCAGCCATAGACAGAAGCAGGCAGAGCAGAGAAAGCATGGTAACCCATGGATACCACACCACACCGCATGGCACCGCACTGCACCCCACCCCACCCACCTGCTCTATGTCTTGCGACTGGAGCAGCGTGCGCTTCAACCGCCCACAGACAGAAGCAGGTAGAGCAGAAAAAAGAGCCTCCCTCTGAGTCTCCACACACGCTGGGCGCATCACCTGATTACGGGGATCGGGGATAGGAAGAAGAGGGGAGGGATGAGATCAAGGGAGATAGGCTTACACACACCAGCCACACCATCGGCCAGAAGAGTCACCTCGGAAAAAGGTAAGTGAAATGGAAAGGTACGGGAGAGAAAAGGGTAGGGTAGGCATACCATTGTGTGTTGATCATGTTGACAATGTTGGCGCATTGCAGTGCCATGCCGTTCACTCCGAGCTCATTACTCATTGCTACCACCCACCCGCAACGCAAGAAGTGAAATGAGAGCAGCACATAACGCGGCGCCGCAGATCAGGAAGGGAAAGCGAATGGGAGACGTGCCATGGTGTCGATCATGTTGACAATGTTGGCGTACTGCAGCGCCATGCCGTTCACTCCAAGCTTCCTCAGATCAGCAGCCGTGGGCGGCGTGCCGGACATGAGGCGCCCCACCTTCACGACTGCAGGGGGAAAGGGGAAGGAGGAAAAAGGTGGGTTTGGATAGATAAGAAGGGAGAGCGGTGCATGGGCAGCATGGATGGGGCAGATTAGGGGAGGCGTGCCCGGCATGAGGCGCCCCACCTTCACCACTGCAGTTTCTGGGGGAAGGGGAAGGAGGAGAAAGAGTGGGGTTGGATAGATAAGACGCGGGAGGGGTGCATGGGCAGCAAGGATGGGGCAGGCAGATCCGGGGAGGCGTGCCCGGCATGAGGTGACCCACCACCACTGCAGTGGCTGGGGGAAGGGGGAAGCTTCGAGTCGACTCAAAAGGGGAAGGGGGAAAAGGTGGGGTTGGATAGATACACCGGGAAAACGGTGCATGAGCGGCATGGATGGGAGGCGGATCAGCAGCTGTGGGAGGCGCGCCGGACATGAGGTGACCCACCTTCACCACTGCAGGGGGAAAGGGGAAGGAGGAAGGGTGTATGAGCGGCATGGATGGGAGGCAGATCAGCAGCCGTGGGAGGCGTGCCTGACATGAGGCGCCCCACCTTCACCACAGAAATCGGTGGGTGAGATTACGATGCAGGTAAGGGTAGAAATGGAGGGGAGGGGGTACAAAGAAAGGAGATGGGATGGGTAGAGAGGAGGGGGCGATGAGCAGAAGATGGGAGAGAGCGCTGATGAAGGCCACTGGCCGAAACTATCTCCGGATGGGATGGGTAGAGAGGAGGGGGCGATGAGCAGAAGATGGGAGAGGAGCAGAATTGACTTTTGAGTCGACTCAAAAGTCATGGGTAGAGAGGAGGGGGCGATGAGCAGAACATGGGCTTGCTTCCTCAAATCAGCAGCTCATCGGGTGAATGTATGGAAGCAGCAACGACCTTTCTGCACTCACCGTCCGCCCCAAACACGTCTATGATCTGGTCGTGCAGGAATACGACCACTAGAAGCACTCAGTTGTGGCAGGCACGAGGCAGCACAAGGCATGTACACGGAAACACTCACCATCGGCCCCAAACACGTTGACAATCTGGTCTTGCAGGAATACGACCACCTGAACTAGCTTCTCCACCACCTGCCGTTCAGAAGTAGCTTCTTGTGACATACATGTACTCTCACCAGGTGCATGCATGCATGCATGTATGTAGCAGCGCCCTCAGACAAGCTTGCACTCACCATCGGCCCCGAACACGTCGACAATGTGGTCGTGCCGGAATCCGACCACTTGAACTAGCTTCTCCACCACCTGCCGTTCAGAACTAGCTTCTTGTGACATACATGTACTCTCACCAGGTGCATGCATGCATGCATGCATGTATGTATGTATGTATGTATGTATGTATGTATGTATGTATGTATGTATGTATGTATGTATGTATGTATGTATGTATGTATGTATGTATGTATGTATGTATGTATGTATGTATGTATGTATGTATGTATGTATGTATGTATGTATGTATGTATGTATGTATGCATGTATGCATGCATGCATGTATGTAGCAGCGCCCTCAGACAAGCTTGCACTCACCATCGGCCCCAAACACGTCGACAATCTGGCCGTGCAGGAATACGACCACCTGAACCCGCTTCTCCACCACCTGCTGCAGCACTAGCGCATGTACTACCATCCGGCTCATACTCTCAAGCACGCATGTATCCTCACACGCTCACTCACCCTTTGGCTCCACTCACCATCAGCCCCAAACACGTCGACAATCTGGTCGTGCAGGAATATGACCACCTGAACCAGCTTCTCCACCACCTGCCGTTCAGCGCAGACAGGTAAGCAAGCAAGCAGGCAGTGCAGACAGGTAAGCAGGTAGGCAGTGCACAAAGGTAAGCAGGCAGGCAGTGCAAACAAAGGGGTTTTGGAGGAGTGGACCAAGGTACCAAAGTGGTGACCACCTGTAGCGCAGTGTAGTGCAGAAAGGTAGGCAGGCACTCACACCAGCTCACCTCACTTGCACTCCCTCACACCACACCAGCTCACCTCACTTGCACTCCCTCACACACACCAGCTCACCTCACTTGCACTCCCTCGCAACAGCTCACCTCACTTGCACTCCCTCACACCACACCAGCACACCTCATCCATGGTTTTGGACCAGAGCACTTTCTTCATCGTTTTCACTATCCAAGTAGGCCCCACACAGGTACCATGGCTTTACACACACTCACACCATCTTGCACACCAGCTCACCTCATCCATGGTTTTGGACCAGAGCCCATTCTTCTTCATCGTCGATCATGGGACAAATGCACCATGCACTCACCCCAGCTCACTGGCACTTACTTGCGGGTAATGAGGCGACTTTTGAGGCGCCTCAAAAGCCCTTTCTTCTTCAACGTCGATCATGGGACAAATGCACCATGCACTCACCCCAGCTCACTTGCACTTCCTCACATCACACCAGCTCACTTGCACTTCCACACATCACACCAGCTCACTTGCACTTCCACACATCACACCAGCTCACCTCACTTGCACTCCCTCACATCACACCAGCGCACCTCATCCATGGTTTTGGACCAGAGCGCTTTCTTCTTCATCGTTTTCACTATCTTCATAGCAACAAGTATCACCCATACAGCATGCACGAGCTCACACCAGCTCACACGCACACGAACTCACACCAGCTCACACCAGCTCACACCAGCAGACCAGCCCACCTCATCCATGGTCTTCGACCAAAGCCCTTTCTTCTTCATCGTCTTCACTATCTTCTCCTGTGCCTTCATCTCTGCCCGCATCTGCGCTATCAGCTCTGCTAGAAAGGGGTGGGTTGGGTTCGGTTGGGAAGAGTTGGGATTGATTGGGTTGGGTTGGAATGGGTTTGGTGGGTTGCAATGCGATGGGATGGGAATGGAGGGTGAGAAGGTGCCACCTTCACTATCTTCTCCTGTACCTTCATCTCTGCCCGCATCTGCGCTATCAGCTCGGCAGGGATGGGGTGGGTTGAGTTCGGTTGGGACAGGTTGGGTAAGTTGCAGTGCGATGGGAATGGAAGGTGAGAGGGTGTGCCACCTTCGCTATTTCCACCTGCGCTTTCATCTCTATTCTGCTCGCATCTGCTGTCAGCCCTTCACCTCTGTGGGGAACCAATTGACTTTTGAGTCGACTCAAAAGACACCTCTGCTCGCATCTCCTGCCAGCCCTTCACCTCTGTGTGGAACCAATTTGGAATGGAAAACAAGGGAAGCAGCAGCATACCTCTGTTGACAGCAGAGTCTGAGTCCTGCTTCACCCGTCTGTCCAGTGACTGCTGCAGCACTCCCTCTTCATGTTAAACAATGCCACCATTCCACCCACCCACCCACCACACACTCACCTCTGTTGACTGCAGAGTCCGAGTCCTGCTTCACCCGTCTGTCCAGTAATTGCTGTAACTACTGCTCCAAACCTGCCAACTCCTTGTGTTCAGAAGTCAAGACCAAGGCAGTAACTCCCTTCTGTGCGTGAAAACATGGGAAGCAGCAGCATACCTCTGTTGACAGCGGAATCCGAGTCCTGCTTCACCCGTCTGTCCAGCGACTGCTGCAGCACTCCCTCCTTGGTTCGTGTTCGTGCTAAGCAACGCCAACGTCCCACCACCGACCCACCCATCCCACCACCGACCCACCCGTCCCACCACCGACCCACCCGTCCCACCACACACTCACCTCTGTTTACAGCGGAGTCGGAGTCCTGCTTCACCCGTCTGTCCAGCGACTGCTGCAGCTGCTCCAGATTGGCCAATTCGTGGTACAGCTCCTGGTGGGGTGGATGGGGGAAAAGACAAGAGCATTGGGGTGGGGGAGAACAGGGGGGAAGAGGGGAATGTGAATAACCGCAACACCTGCTGCAGCTGCTCCAGATTGGACAACTCGTGGTACAGCTCCTGGCGGGGGAAAAGGGGGGGGGGGGGGGAGGGGGGAAAGGAGGAGGACAGGGGGGAGAAAGAGGAACGTGAATCACCACAGAGACTGCTGCAGCTGCTCCGGATTAGTCAACTCGGGGTACAGCTCGTGATGGGGGGAATGGGTGGGGGGGGAGGATGGGGGGGAGAGGATGGGGGATTGGCCAACTCATGGCACAACACGCTGCTATGCAGGTTGCAACCCATGGCCCCCGAAATTCAACACAGTATCCACCCACCCACTCACCGTTGTGATCTGCGCCTGCCCTTCCAGCGCTCGCAACTCCCCCTCCCCCTCCACCTCTGCTGCTATGCAAGTTTCATTGCAACCCATGGCCCCCAAGAGTCAACACAGAACCCACCCACTCACCGCTGTGATCTGCGCCTGCCCCTCCAGCGCTCGCAGCTCCCCCTCCACCTCCACTGATGTCATTCGGCCCTTGGGGCCATCCATGGTGCCGAGGCTGGTGGGGGGAGGGCGAGAAGAGAGAGGGGGGGGCAAGGGGGGGAGTAAGCATGCATGACACAGGCAGGCTCGTGCCCTCCACTGATGTCATTCGGCCCTTGGGTCCGTCCATGGTGCCGAGACTGGTGGGGGGAGCAAGGAAGAGAAGAGAGGAAGAGAGGAGTTGGGAAAAAGGGGGGGGGGAGGAGACAGGGACACAGGAGAGGGGGGTTGAAGGAGAAAGGGAGAAAGTAGCCGAGTGGCAGGGTCACGGCTTATGCTGATGTCATTCGGCCCTTGGGGGCATCCATGGTGCCGAGGCTGGTGAGGGGGAGAGCGAGAAGAGAGGGGGCAAGGGGGTAAGCAGCGCAGGTAAGGCGGGCTCGTGCGCTCCGCTGATGTCATTCGGCCCTTGGGTGGGGCCGTCCATGGTGCCACCGAGACAGGTGGAGGGGAGAAAGTGAAGGAGAGAAAGAAAAGAATTGGAGAGAGGGGGTAGGAAGGAAAGGGACCATGTAGGCATGGGGCGGATTCATGGCTTCCGCTGATGTCATTCGGCCTTTGGGACCGTCCGTGGTGCCGAGGCTGGTGGGGGCAAAGGGGGGGGGTGTGGTTGGGTTGGGGTTGACAGAGAAAGGGAGTGAGGAGTGAAGGAGCAGGGTCGTGGATTTGCTGGTATCATTCGGCCCTTACATCCATCCATGGTGCCGAGGCTGGTGGGGGGAAGGGAAGGTAGACGGGTGGAAGAGAAAGCGAGGAGATAGGCAGGCCCGAGGTGGGGAGGAGGAGTCATGACTTCTGCTGGTGACGGTCCCAACGTTAAGGCCCAACGGAAGGAAGTCACACTTTTCGGTGCCGAAATTCACACCTGGACTGGAACGCAGTTGCGTGTGGACCTCCAAGACGCCATCTCTGCTCTGCATCCATGGCTGTTGTCTTGTCAATTGAGAGACCAAGGGACCCGAGATTGCCTGAGCGTAGGTCAAACGGCCACCGCCCCACTCACGCACACATCAAACCCCATCCTTCACTAGTCAAGCCCCCCATCGCTCAAGTGACAGATGCGCATAACAGCCCACTCACGCGTCAAAGGCCTGTGTGAGAGAATGCAGTGCCGGGTCGAGACATTGCTTGCCCAGCCGTGCCACATCCCTCGCCACTGCTCTCAACTCGCCCCTGTGTACAGTGCATGAGATGACGGAGGGAGAAGTGTGAGGAACAGAGGAAAGATGGTGGAGGGAGGAAGAAAGACGGGTCAAGTCAAGACATTGCTTGCCCAGCCGTGCCACATCCCTCGCCACTGCTCTCAACTCGCCCCTGTGTGCGTGAGAAAAGACGGTGGGGAGGGGAGGGGGAAGGGAGAAGAGTGAGGAACAGGATTTTTGAGGCGCCTCAAAAGACATTGCTTGCCCAGCCGTGCCACATCCCTCGCCACTGCTCTCAACTCGCCCCTGTGTGCGTGAGAAAAGACGGTGGGGAGGGGAGGGGGAAGGGAGAAGAGTGAGGAACAGGATTTTTGAGGCGCCTCAAAAGACATTGCTTGCCCAGCCGTGCCACATCCCCCGCCACTGCTCTCAACTCGCCCCTGTGTGCGTGAGAAAAGACGGTGGGGAGGGGAGGGGGAAGGGAGAAGAATGAGGAACAGGAAAGAGGACAGACAAAGTGAAGAGGAGAAAAAGCAAGGACGCCAGCCAGTTCCGAATCCCTGAAGCTCGTCATAACAGATCTAGGCTTTTCAAAACCTTCATGTGCAGTACAGCAATCAGTCTTCATGTGTTGTGCTGTGCTGTGTGAAGTCAGCAGCACCACCGATCCCTGATGATCTCATGATCTCTAATAATGCCATCCACCTGCCCACAAACCTGGTCTTTCTCTCCCACGCACGCACCGCTTGTCCTCGGCAGCAATGCACCAGCATCCTTATGCCCTCCCACGCCACCACCTCCGCCCTCAGACCCTCTATGTCCCTCTCCCGCACTCACCGGCCCTACCACCCGTCCCAGCCCCACCCATCCCAGCCCTACCACCCGTCCCAGCCCCACCCATCCTAGCCCTACCACCCGTCCCAGACCCACCACCTGTGTCCCACGCACCGCTTGTCCTCGGCAGCAATGCACCAGACGTGGTACAAGTCGTCTGACACCAGCATCCTTATGCCCTCCGATGCCAGCACCTCCGCCCGCAGGTCCTCTATATCCCGCTCCCGCACTCACCGGCCCTACCACCCATCCCAGCCAAACCACCCGTGTGCCACGCACCGACCGGCCCTACCATCCGGCCCGGCCCTACCACCCGTCCCACCCTCTCCCACGCACCGCTTGTCCTCGGCAGCGATGCACCACACGTGGTAGAAGTCGTCTGAGACCAGCATCCTTATGCCCTCCGATGCCAGCAACTCCGCCCGCAAGTCCTCTATAGCCCGCTCCCATACTCACCACACCAGCCCTATCATCAACTATCCCAGCCTGTCCTCACCGCTTGTCCTCGGCAGCAATGCACCACACGTGGTAGAAATCATCCGAGACCAGCATCCTTATGCCCTCCGATGCCAGCACCTCCGCCCGAAGGTCCTCTATATCCCGCTCTAGCAGCGACTGGCGCAGGTTGATTGCCCTGACGATCACGTTTGCCACTTCAAACCCCATGATCTCAATTCTGAGACCAACGAGGGGAAACGGGGAAGGGAAGCCGAGGGGGGAAGGGGAAGGGGGGGAGAGAGGGGAGGAGGGGGAGGAGAATGCGATTGAACACTTGGTACTCATTTTCCTTCGCGTGAATGAATGTCTTAGAACGAGGGTGGGGGGGGGGGGCAACGGGGTGAGGTGCTTCAGAAGCATGCTACTTATGGAACCTGCACGGACCTGCACGGACCTGCACGGACCTGCATGTACCTGCACGGACCTGCACGGACCTGCATGTACCTGCACGGACCTGCACGGACCTGCACGGACTGAACCTCTGCCACTCACTTTCCCTTGGAGCGGATGAGCTTTGGGCCAACAGGGGTGGTCGCCTCCTCTGCTGCAGGCGCTTCCCTGCAAGTCAAAAGCACAGGCAAGGACATGCCAAAAGAACAGAATGGGGAAAAGAGAGGGGCAGAGGAGACAAGACAGCAGAGAGCGTTTCGGCATCTTTGGGCCCAGTTCCGGGGCTAGGGCTTAATCAAAGGGCAAGCTGGATCCAAACCTGAACACCGAAGTCTATTTTTGAGGCGCCTCATAAATAGACCCTGTTCCGAGGCTAAGGCTTAATCAAAGGGCAAACTGGATCCAGCATGCGTGCATTTTTTAGGCGCCTCAAAAGGCATCCGACTTTTGAGACGCCTCAAGAAACGACTTTTGTTTAAGGCGCCTCAAAAGGCATCTGTAGCGTTGAGCTTTGGGTCCCGTCTCTGGGCTTAGGTTTATTCAAAGGGCAAACTGGCTCCGACTCAAAACACCAAAGTGCATGCATGCATGCATTTTAGAGACTAAGATCATGGTCTGGTCGAATGAAGGATAAATGCAGGTTTGGCGACTCAGGATCATGCAGTGCGGTGCGGTTCAAACAGCTTTTGCGGCTCTTCACAAGAGGCCGGCTGTGCCTGGTCGCATGAATGAAGATACGCGCAGTGTGTAAGTTTAGCGACTCACCCTCGCGTGGGTGACGCAGTTGGTGCGGCAGCAGCGCCTGCTGGTGAGGCTGAGGATTGTGAGGACTGTTTGGGGGGGAAAGGGCAACGGAGGAGAGGAGAGGAGAGGAGAGGAGAGGACTGCTGGTGAGGGCAGAGAAGCAGTGGGTGGAACGATGAAAGAGAAGATAGAATGGCGGAGTCACAAAACTAGTCCCTGCTGCTGGTGTGGCTGAGAATTGCGAAGACTGCTTTGAGGATGGCGGGGGCATCAGAGAATAAATAACGGCGTTTGGAGACGTCAGAAAACTAGCGCCTGCTGGTGAAGCCGAGGATTGAGTTGAGAGGACTGTTTGAAAGGGGACAGCGGACAGAACCGGTGGAAAGGCGACAGCCGTGTGTCGGTGTGACAACAGCTTAACTGTCTGAACCCGCAGCAGCAGAACCGGAGAGGAAAACGAATACAGGAGGCGGGGTGGGGATTGGGGGGTTGGGAAGAGGGGAGGAGGAGGGTGGAGGGGAGGGGGAGGATGGGGAGAAAACGGGGGAAAGGACAAGGGGGGAGAGGGAGGGACAGGGGAGGCGGGGTGGGCGGGAGGGGTCCTCAATGTCTTGGTGTCAGCACAGAATCGCTGTGAGACTGCGAGTAGCAACAGCTGAAGTGCCAAAAAAGCAGAAGAAAAAAAAGGGTAGTTACTCCTACGCTAATAGTACAACTCTAACTCCATAATTTCTCGTACGACCTACGCTACTAGTACTACTCTACTCCATAATATCTCGACAATAGTACCTTGAATCCGCGGACGCCCCCCGTTGGCAAACAGTGGATGCCCGTCGCTTCCCGCGGCGACGACTCCACGCCTTTGTCGTCGCCGTTGTCCGTGCTGTCGCCCTGGTCATCCCTGCGACGGCTTTTACTGAAAAGCGACGGCAGGCGACCCGAAGCCGATTTCCCAGCTGTCGCATCGTCAACGCTGCGACCCGACGCTACCTTGGCTTGCGATTGCAATGTTTCGTCAATTTTCGTCAATCCACTTTCATCTTCGCTGACTCGGTCTGGTAACGGGTCCTTGACAGCCGGTTTGGACTGTATACACCCCATAAGTCGCTGGCTAGGGTTAGGAGGCTAATACCGCGAAGCTCAATAACGCGGCATTGTCGATTGTCGCACTCGGTCAAACGTAGAGAAGGGCATTGGTGGATATCTACCAACTGGAATAGCGCAGCAAACCTCGAGGTCTAGGAGAAAGAATATCGGAGAAATAAACAAAACAAAATACCTACGAAATAAATACGATCGGGTATGATATTGGAGGCGCTAAAAACAGAAACAGAACTACCACGAAATATATACGATCGCGTATGTCGCGTCAAGCCACTAGCCAATGTAGCGTCTTTAGGACAAACTCCTACTTCGGGTCACTACTAGGCGGCAAACAAGAGCACCAAGGTAACATGCCAACACCAACGAACGTGCCGACACTAACGAACGAGCCAACAATAACGAACTCAACACTAACGGGTGTGCAGGAAGGCGGGAGCGACGCGAAGGTCGATCTTTGGGACGGGAAGTCCGGCAACCTAGGCTGTCATGGCTATTGATGGCAGCACTTCCTAACCCCACAGCCTGCTGGTGGTTGCTGACTGTGGGTCTGAGGTCACTCTTATTTCACTGACAGGACGCACGCTCTTCATGTCACGACTCACTCCTACAAGCGGTAGAGTGGTTTGAGAGGTGATGAATCAGCTGGCTGGCTGGAGCTGTGGCTCATGGAGATGACGAGGGGATGTCAAACAACAGTTCTCGGTAATACGGTAATATGCGTTTATAAGCGGCTAATTTACATATCACAACGATCGGGTATGGTAGGCTTTGAGAAGGAAGCTAGTGTAACCGTCCCAGTGTTCCGTACGAACGACACAAGCAGCAGTTCCCCGAGAGGTGTCACAAGGATGGAACTCTTCACCAGCCTGGACAGTCCTTGACCACATTTGGAACCACACCACTCACCACCATCCAGCCAGCTCCACCCCGCACGCACCCGAACTGAAACAAGGATTTTGCACGAACTGTAGCATATTGTACAGGTCCGGGCCCATTCCATCTGCAGTATATTGGCGTGGTGTTACGAGTGCAATTGAGTGAACGAACGAGAATTGCACTATCGAAGCAAGAGTACAATGAGCGAAGGCATGAGCGAAGAATATATAGCGAAACTACAGTGGTAACGGTAATGGACTGTGGTTCTCGCGCGACGGGCCTGGGACTGAGGTTGGGAAAAAGTGTCGAAGCGGAGGCCCGGAGCGCGGGTTACCCGCCGAGCCGTGAGGTCGGGGTGCGATGTGCGAAGGTGGCGGGCAGATTGTCGATGCGAGGGTTGCGAGTGGTAACGGTGCTGACTGTGGTGCTACAGTGATGTACGCGTTGAGCAGGGATGCGAAGTAAGGAAAAGGAATTTTCCTTACACTACCCCCCCCCTTAAGGAGGTCCTCCTTACGAGAGTGCGTGTACATCCCTGAAATTTCGGCTGCGCAGATACTCGGTGAGGACGGGGTGGTTTTCGATTCTGTCCAGGGGAACCCAATTGTCTTCGGTGGGTGTACGGTCCTTCCAGCGGAGTAAGAACTCGATCTTTCGGGCTCCTCGAGGGTCGCGAACTCTGTGACTCAGGATTTTTTCGGGGGTGATGATTGGTTCAGTTGGTGGTCTTGTCATGCTGGTTGGGCGATTGCGTGGCAGCTGGCTCGTGGACGGGACGTAAGGGCGAAGTAGGCTGACGTGGAATGAGGGGCTGACGTACCAGTCAGCAGGGAGGAGGAGGTGGGCGGTGACGGGTGTAAGCATGTGGCTTATGCGAAATGGCCCGCAGTATCGGGGGCGGAGTTTCGGAGTGATGGGCAGTCGGAGGTTCTGAGTGTCAAGTAAAACTAAGTCGTCGGGCTGGTAAGTGACAGGTCTGCGGTGGCGGTCGGCGTTGCGTTTAGCGATGATGTTCGATTTTTTTATTGCGTCTACTGCCCGGGTCCGTGCTGCTTGTAATATTTCGGCGAACTGTTGTGCTCGTGGTACTGGGTTGTCGGGATTCGGGGTCATGGGTACTGTTGGGTCTTGTCCGTAGTTTAGGTAAAATGGTGACTGTTGGGTCGTGGCGGATGACGAGTTGTTGTACGCGAATTCGATTAGTGGCAGTTGCTGTTCCCACGTGGTCGGGTCGTCACACGTGGCCCTGATGAGCTGTTCCATGGTCTGATTTGTCCGTTCTGTCTGTCCGTCGGTTTCGGGGTGGTATGATGAACTGAACTGCAGTCGCGTGCCGAACTGCTGCCACAGGTTCCGCCAGAAGTTGCTGGTGAATTTTGTGTCGCGGTCGCTGATGATCGCGGCGGGTATCCCGTGCAGTCGAACGACGGTGGAGATGAAGAGGCGTGCTGTTTCTTCGGCTGTGATCGATTTCTTGCAGGCTGCGAAATGTGCCATTTTCGTTAGTCGATCGACGACGACCAGGATCGCGTCGTTCCCACTCGCCCCGGCTGGTAGCCCCGTGACGAAGTCCATCGTCACCTGCTGCCAAGCACGCTCTGGGGGTGGTATCGGCTGCAACTGTCCCGCCGGCCGCTGTCGTGATGATTTCATGAGCTGACAAGTGGGACACGATGCCACGTGTCGTTGTACGTCGGTCAACATTTCGGGCCGGTAATAATACCGCTGCAGCTGCTGCCGTGTTTTTTCTACTCCGAAATGCCCCGAAGTAACTCCGTCGTGTGCCTCTTGTAACAGTAATTCCCGTAGCAGTGTATACCCAGGTACCCAAATGCGGTCAGTCCCGGCTTTTACGTAATAGACTCCCTTGGCTGCTGCGAACTGCTGCGAATTTCCTCCTGTGAAGAATGGATCCGTCTGGTACCCGTGGGTGAATAGGCCTGTCAGTAGCGGGCTTGTCTGGGCAAGTAGTATTGCGTGGATCTGGGCAGTGGGGCGGGTCAGTGCGTCGGCGATGTTCGAGGCTCCCTTTTTGTAAGTGACCGTATAGTGAAAGTTGGACTCGAGGAAATCGAGCCAGCGAATCTGTCGTGGGTTGAGGTGTGGCTGTGCGCGAATGTACTGTAGTGATTTATGGTCTGTCCGTACTGTCACGTCCGCGCCAGTCAAGTAACAGCGCCATACTTTGAACGCGTGCACGATCGCAAGCATTTCGCGGTCGTGTATCGGGTAATTTTTATCGGGCGGATGCAGTTTTCGTGACTCGTATGCGATAGGCTGTAGGCCATTGCCGAAATCCTGTAGCAGTACGGCTCCGATGGCGATATCGCTTGCGTCGGTAACTACTTCGAATGGGCGGTGTGGGTCGGCGATGCGCAGGACGGGCGGGGAACAGAGAACATTTTTCAGGGCAGAGAAGGCAGCATGCTCTTTCTCCCCCCACGTAAAAGCGACCCCCTTCCGCAGTAAGTCCGTCAGTGGGGCAGTTAACCGTGCCATATCGGGGACGAACCGACGTACATAATTAACGAACCCTAAAAAGCTTTGCAGCTCCGTGATGTTCGTCGGGGGATGCCACGCTTTTACCGTATCCAGCTTCTTTGGGTCGATTTCAACTCCAGCCTCCGAAATAACGTGCCCCAGAAATTCTAACCTATCCTGGAAGAACTCGCACTTGGAACCCTTGGTCAGTAATCTGTGCTCGTCTAAAACCTTAAACACTGCTTCCAGATCTGCTAAGTGCTGCTGCTTATCCCGACTGTACACTAGGATGTCGTCGAGGTAAACTATTACACATTTATCTAAGAGCGGCCTAAATGCCTCGTTCATGGTCATCTGAAAAGTCGCCGGTGCGTTGGTCAGCCCGAATGGCATCACAGTGTACTCGAACGACCCGTACCTAGTCCTGAAAGCTGTTTTGGCGCAGTCCGATGGTTCGACCCTAATCTGATGGTAACCTCCCCGTAAATCTATTTTCGAAAAAACCCGTGCTGTTCGCAGTTGGTCGATCAGTTCGTCGGCGCGGGGAATTGGGTACCGCGACTTGACTGTTACCCTGTTCAGTGCTCTGTAGTCGATACACATGCGAAAACCCCCGTCTTTTTTCGGCGTGAATAGTATCGGTGCGGCGAACGGTGACGAGCTCGGTCTGATGAATTTTTTCTCTAACAGGTAATCTAACTGCTTCCTTAGTTCGTCGAGCTCGGGCTGTGTCAGTCTGAACTGGCGCTGTACGGTTGGCTGTGCCCCCGGTTCTAATTCGATTCGGTGGTCATGTGCTCGCTGAGGTGGCAGTCCCTCCGGTAAGTCGTCGGGGAAAATCCCGGGGTATCGTTTCAACAGTTCATGTAATTCGGGCGGTACGGCTGCCAGGAGTTTCTTGAAATCACTCGGCTGCTCTGCTTCCTCTACTACTGCGATGTCTACTGCGTACACGTCAGCTCCAGCAGCGACAGCCCGTTTCATTGTGATGGCGTTGACGTGTACCGTTGAAGACTCGGGCGACTGCCAGCGAGGTAGCTCGACCCAGTTACCACTACTTCGCACGGTGCAGCTACCCGTCGTCCAGTCAATTCGCGGGTTATATCGTCGCAGCCAATCACGTCCCAGTAAAATATCGTGCCCATCCAGTGTCGTTGCGAGCATTTCCTGTGTAAACCCGAAATTTCCCCCGCAGCGGACTTTGACTCTCTCTACCTTTTCCCGTATGGCCAGTGGCGTGCCGTCGACTAAGCGTGCGTCTATCTCCGGTAAGCAACGGCTAAGTGTCAGCTGTAGTTTTCGTGCGGTTGCGGTATTAACTAAACAGTGGCTTGCTCCTCCGTCGATAAAAATCTTCACTGCTGCTCCCTGTATTTTCCCGTGGATCAGTACTGGGCAATCCGTCGCTGTACCCTCCTTATTCGCCCGAGTCCGATCGATAGCATGAATCGGTACTGTGACTCGGTGAGGGTCGGTGGGGTTGGGCGAGCAGGCAGTCTCGTCAGTAGTTGGCCCGGTTCCTACTGACTGCTGGCGTTTCCCTGCCTTGGAGACTCCCTCCCCTGCTCTGCTCCGCGGCGCCTTAGCTCCTCTGGGCATTCGCTCTTGCGATGGCCCGGCCTGTTGCAAGCAAAGCAGCG